GAAGACCATAGAAGAATTGATGCCTTTGAGTTGTGGTGTTGGAGGAGAATATTCACAGTGCCATGGGCAGCCAAAAGAATCAATCGATCCATTTTGGAAGAAGTGCAGCCAGAGTGCTTCTTGGAGGCCAAGATGGCCAAACTTCGTCTCTCATACTTCAGACATATTGTCAGGAGGGACAAGTTGCTAGAGAAGGATATCATGTTTGGTAAGGTGGAGGGTCATAGAAAAAGAGGAAGACCCCCAACAAGATGTGTTGGCTAAGTGGCAACATCGATAGACTCAAGCATGGCAATAGTAGTGAGGTTGGCCCAGGATGGGGCAGTGTTTCCTTCTGCTGTGTATATATATATGGTTGCTATGGGTTGGTACCATCTCGATGGCACCTAACAACATCAACAACAACAAGCTAAAATGGTGGAGTCCTTGAATGGCCCTGTGGGTTAATGTGCCAGTCTGCAAAGCCTTTTGAACTGCAAGGTTGGTGGTTCAAGCTCACCAGTAGCTCCTAGGAAACCCTATACAGGGTTGCTATGGGTTGGAACTGACTCAGTGGCATTTAACAACAAGTCTAAATGAGAGTCCTAGTGTGGAGCTGCTGATTAAAATGATGGACTGCAAAGTCATTTAAACCGCGATGCTAGCAGTTCAAGCTCACCAGTCATTCCTTGGAAACCCTATACCGAGTGTCTAGGGTTCAGAACAGACTCGACAGCTCTTCACAACAAAAATCCTAAATGGGATTTGATCTGAAACATCGGCATTGCCATATGCCCTTTTTTCGCCAGTCATCTCTTCCTACTGCTTTGTTGTATAAAAGATAGGAATAGGCATCTGCCTGTAACTTGGGTCAATATGAATTTCAAGTGTGCTTACCCAGTATGATAGGAATAATGATGCTATCTAGTCCGTGTGTTCTTAGTAGGAACAAGACAGTCCCAATGGGGTAGAAGAACCTCTCTTTGCATGTATAAAACACAGATATATACTGTACATAAACAGATATACAGTATACAGGTGACATTAAAATTTTACTGGGGGAAATTTGGGAAAATAGGTCTTAAAAGGTTCCTTGTTGTTGTTGTTAAGTGCCGTCGAGTCGGTTCCGACCCATAGTGACCCTGTATAGTGTTTCTGAGGAGCAGCTGGTGAGCTTGAACCGCTGATCTTGCAGTCTGGCTCATTAACCCATAGTGCCACACCAGAACTCCAAAAGGGTTGTTGTTGTTGTTGTTGTTGTTGTTGTGTGCCGTGGAGTCGGTTCCAACTCATAGCGACCCTGTACAGGGTTTCTGAAGCTGTAAATCTTTACGGGAGCAGAAAGCCTCATCTTTCCCCAGCGGAACAGCTGGTAGTTTTGAACTGCTGACCTTGCGGTTCACAGCCCAATTTGTAACCACTACGCTACCAGTGCTCCTTACACAAAATATAGAATCCCCCATATCTGTTCATTCATTGAGACATCTGATTAATGTAATAAAGGTTTTTTTGTGTGTTTGTTGTTTTTTT